TTCAAGCCCCACAACCGACCAAAAAAAAAAGGGGGGGGCTGGGAAGGTGGCTCAGTGGTAGAGCGCTTGCCTTGCATGCATGAGGCCTTGGGTTCGATTCCTCAGCAACACATAAGCAAAAAGAAAAAAGCCGGAAGTGGCGCTGTGGCTCATAGTGGTAGAGTGCTAGCTTTGAGCTGAAGAGCTGAGGGACAGAGCCCAGGCCCAGAGTTCAGGTCCCATGACCGGACCCAAAAAAAAAAAAATCTCAGGGACAATATCCAGGCTCTGAGTTCAAGCCCCAGGATCAGCACACACAAAAAAATGTTTTTGAGGGGCTGGGAAGGTGGCTCAGTGGTAGAGTGCTTGCCTTGCATGCCTGAGGCCCTGGGTTTGATTCCTCAGCACCATATAAGCAGAAAAACCTGGAAGTGGTGCTGTGGCTCATGTGGTAGAGCGCTAACCTTGAGCTGAAGAGTTGAGGGACAGCGCCCAGGCCGAGTTCAAGACCCACAACCAACAACAACTTTTTGAATTACAGGCAGGCATGAACTACAGTACCTGGCTACCCATTTGATGATCTATTTGGGAGGGATCCAGATACTCTATCCTGAAATACTTGGGAGCCTGAAAAGAAACTATTAGCCGAATCTGCCACTTGAAAACAAGCTGGGATCTCTGGTCAGGTTAACTTGCACACAATGGCCTCTCCTAGTACCACCTAGTGGACAATAAAAAACCAACACACGGGCTCTGAAGCTTGAGGGTAACTATCTAGTGTCTGATCACCTTGTTGAGGAACGTGGCACAAGGAATCTTGCTTTATAGCTATTACCTGGGTACAGTCTTACCCTGCCAAGGTATGGATTAGAGGTTCATGGAAAGAAAGGAGTAATCTGCCTGAAACGGGCCAAAAGATGGTTATCTAAGCAGGTGATGTCATTCACAGTATAGTCCTAACTAGTCTCAGAAGGCTGATTTGAGAATTGAGGTTTGGAGTCAGCATGGGCTGACTCATCGTTATCATGATCATCATCATCGTAAGTGAGATTCTGATCTCCAATACACCACAAAAAAGCTGGAGGTGAAGCTGTGGCTCAAGCAGTAGAGTGCTAGCTTTGAGGGAAAAGGTAAGGGACAGCCAAGCACCTGTGGTTTATGTCTATAAATCCTAGCTACTCCAGAGGCTGAGATCTAAAGATCATGGCTCAAAGCCAGCCTGGGTAGGGAAGTCCGTGAAACATTTATCTCCAATTAACCACCAAAAAGCTGTAAGTAGAGCTGTGGTTTAAGTGGTAGAGTACTAGCCTGGAGCAGAAAAGCTCAGGGACAGTACCTAGGCCCTGAGTTCAAGCTCCAGGACCAGCAAGCTAAAATAGCTAATTATTGGCAGGAGGCGAGACTCAGCAATATAGGGCCTGCTTAGCAAGCACAAGACTCTTGAGTTCAAATCCTAGCCCACAAAAACAAATAAAATGCTAGCCACTTAAAACAAATATATGTATATTGCTGGAGACATACATACGTTTTTTGGTGGTACTAGGATTTGAACCAGACTTTGTTAGGCAGAAAGAGTTTTACAGAACCACACCTCTAATCCTTTTTCATGCTGGTTTTTTTTTTTTTTTTT